CACGAATTTCAAACGAAACCACACAAAATCTCCGAAGTTCTCAATTAATTAAATACATTTTTTTTTAATCAGGTTTTGGTGAACATTTGGTTCACTGGTTTGCTAGTTTACAATATTCGAAGTATAAAGGTCTAGAATTTCGGAAATCTGCTGAGTTTAATCTGTATCTGGATTTGTTGATGCAGATTGGGGCAGTGACTTAAAAGTTAGAAAGTCTTTTAGCGGTTTCTTATTCAAAATTGGTACTTCCATTGTTTCATGGGAATGTCGTAAGCAAAGGTGTGTTTCGCTATCGTCAACCGAAGCTGAGTACGTCGCCCTATTGGAGGCTTGCAAAGAAGCTGTATTTTAGTCTCGTTTGGTTAGTAATGTTCTTTTGCGAGATGTATGTGTGGTTAACATAGGCACAGATAACCAGAGTGCTATTAAGCTGGCACAGAATCCAATTGCTCACCGTCGTAGTGTGGTATTTACCCTCAAAACTTGGCCAAAAATATTTTTTTGTTTCTAATAATTAGATAAGTCGTTTCTAGATGATTTAACACTAAAGTATAATAAAACAACAATTTATTTTGTTAAGAGTCCAATTTATTAGTCATTACTACAATCGTCGTTAATGTTAATATTGGTTACATCGCTTTCGCAAAATAATTAAGAATATCGGTTGATAATTGCTTCTTTTTTCTACTTAAGGGTCCTCTCATTCCAGTAATTAATGGATCAGAGGTCAATAAAAGTCGATTTAAGACCTCCATATTACACTCAATTCGGGAAAATTTTCTCGAGAAGTTTAATCTATAGGATCGGATGTTTTTATTGCGAACTTCCGCTGCTTCCTCAGATAGCTGACCAATTGGCAGTATGGACTCTTTAATGACAGCCGCTCCATGTCAAAGTACTTTGTGTAAAGTAGGGGACATAGGGTAAAATCTATTCAGTGACACATATAGTTCAGCTGTTTCCTGGCAGTATTTTTCGAATCTTTCAATATTTATTTTTAATCCAGACCATAGAGAATCTAGAATGACTTTAAGTCTATAAATTAGGTCTCTATTAATTCCTGTTATTTCTGCTGAAATTTCGTATTCTTCGAAAAACCTTCGACTTGTATTTCCGTCATTGGTATTTCCGAAATTTGCTTTTGGCATGTCCACTAAAAGTCCTAGTTTTTCTTTAAATTTGTTTTGGATGTCTTTTTTCTGTCTTCCACTATTTGTTTTTCTTCGGTAGAAAGGCGGACATTCCATTTATTCACGGTTAACCTATATGCCACGTGCAAAACAGATTCAAAAAATCTAATTGTGGCGTGTAACAAAGACAGCCCAAAGCTGAAGTTTTCTTTTTTGCAAGGCCTCTCTTTTGATAAGTCGTTGAATTCCGACACAGTGGCATCGCATATGTGGCACCCTCAGAATACAGGTAGCACCTCATTGTTGATTTCGTATGCGTTGTTGCATTGCATACCTTGCCATCCACCATCGTAAATAACATTGTGTTTAATAGAGGTGTCATTTATATTTGTGCTAGAAAGTGCTGATATTTGTGACTGTATGTAGTTTATTTCCTCGTTTGTGACGTCAGTTGTCTCCTTAACGAAACGTATTCTTATAGGCCGACAATAGCGAGGTGAAGATGGCGTTGGGTTTTGCCACAGTATTTTTTTTTCTGAGCTATAAATTAATTGCAGTGGAACTACAGAGGTTTGGAATATATTAGCATCAGAATCATCTTCACAATCAAATTTCATTTTATACTGTACTTGTTGTGATCCATCACAGCCCCACTTGCTTATTAATATTAATGAACGTTTTTCTTCTTCGCTCAAACCTTCTACAGCTTCTCCGAGATGTTGTATGAGTCGTGATGCTGTGTGATCCATCAAATTCTGAACTAGTACTTCACCACATGTTTCGGTCACACGATGAATTTCCGGATAGGTGTCTTTTTTCACTTTTTGGAGAACAGAATAGCACGGGAAAAAATTTGGATTTGTTTCACGTACTCTTTCATATTGAGCTTTAGTTAATTCGGCTTCTGTGAACATTGACATTGCTTGTAAAGGTGATAATTGACGAGGCTGGTCTTGTTTTTCAGTACTTTTCTTAAAAGCCTTTACATATTTCTTTTCCCTTTGAGGACTTTTCGATAAATCTTTAACAACTTTGGAAGCTGCTATTTTGCCTACATGGCGCAATTTCATTTGTGTTGCATATGTCAATTCCACAACGTCTTTTGACCTGAGGTCTTCAGTTCTTCGTCTTTTACTTCTTTCACTTGAGTTTTCAAATGACTTCTGAGGGCGCCCAGGAGTGACTCCTACAACAAAGAAATAATAAAAATGTTTTTATACATATAGATAAAATATTATTTATAGCACACCATAAATAAAATCATACAAAAGGGAATATACAACAACGTCAATTTAGTTGTCTTTGAACTCTTTCGGCACTATTATAATAAAAACAATAACAAAGGATCGCATCTATTTTGCTGCACGTACCTACGCTCGGTAAAGTTATAGTGCTCTTGAGCCACGTGGTATTATTTTCTTCGAACCTCTTTTTGATTTTGTGCGCAGCCAACCATTTTCGTTTAAAATCATGTTTAATTATTGAGATTCTGTTCTTTATATCAGCTATTCTCGGATCATCTTGAGAATAACCTTTCAATAATTCTTTCTCCATAAACATTAACTTTCCGTCAAAAGTGTGTTCATTTGAACGTTTGGCGATGTCATACAACTCATTTCGAGTCATAGTCTTCACGCCAGAAGGTCCAGATAACAATAAAAACGAATAACATTTAAGAAGATGTTTGTACCAAATATGTAGGTCTTTACAAAAAAAATATTTAAAAAAAAAGGGGCGGTTTCGTGCTGCTATTTTTTTATAAGTAGTCTTTCAAGTAAGTACCCGACATTATACAATAAATTTCAATGCCCAGAAATGTACAGAAATATAACAAAACCCCTTTTAAAGTATTAAAATAATTATTTATACAACAGTCAATTATACCTATGTTGTCGACTAAAACAACAAAAATCTACAAGGTATTTGTCAAAAAATATATATTTAACAGAAAGTACATACCAGGAACAGAATCATCCATGATAAAAACCACCACTAAACCACTTCACTGAACTAAAACAAGAGCTTTGAGAACAATGAAATAAGAGCGTATCGAAAAATCACACGTCAGGTGTAAGCGAGCTGTAACTTCCGACTGATCGCACGAAACGCAGAGTTAAGCTAGAGCTTTATCTGTTTCGCTATTGGATGCAGTAACTCATTAGCTTTTTGATGGTGTACAATACTCAATAGTTAACAAAAATTTAAATTTCCATTTTTGGCCAGGTTTTGAGGCCAAATACCACACTGTGCGTCGGACCAAACACATTGACATAAGAGTGCATTTTGTAAGAGAATGTATAGAACTGGGTCTAGTCAATCTAACATATATTCCCACTGATGATATGTTGGCTGACATACTGACAAAGCCATTAGGCAATGTAAAGTTTTTTAGAATCTTTACTGTGTAATTTGAGGGGTGGTGTTGATAAAACCTCTTTAGCATGCTGCTAGAAGTAGGTATATCAAATTACAAGAAAGTCTAATGTCTTTCGTTTCCTAGGATACTATCATAAATAAATATAAGTCATCTTATATTACAAATATACAATTTACAACGCCCTATCCACTGTTATTACTAATATTATTAAGTTTTTAAATCACAACTTTCCGTAAAAAAATATTTTATATTTGATAATATTGACTAACTGTGCTTACATAAAGAAACGGGTTTACGGCACAGACAAATCTGTGCAGGTTCGAACTCCATAGTACCGACCGGTGCAGGGTCAACTTGCATAAAGAAACAGGTAAATCTGTCCTTATTGACAACCATGGGCTCCACTTCATCGGACGATGATTTTTTCCTTCTGGAAAATGTGTATTTAAAATGTAGAAAGAAAAGAACACTCAGTGTCTTTAATATAAACAGGAGAAGAAAACAATATGGATCATATTTGAAAAAGATAAAGTTTGATGAACAGAAGTTTTATGAATAAACAAGAATGACACAAGAAACATTTAACTACATATTAAATAAAATCGAACATCGTTTAATTAAGAGATGGTGTAACTGGCATGTTCAACCCATTTCACCCGAAGAAAGACTACTAGTCACCATCAGGTAAGTAATTATTTTCATTATATTTTACTTTTTATAGGTTTGTATTAGTCGGGGGTCTCTTATTAGGAAACGTGGTTTAAAAATAGTACCAGGTTTAGTACTACGATTAAAATAGTAAAATATTGAAAAACCAAGTCTAACGCTAATTCACGAAAGATCTATGGTACTAAAGTTAGTCCTATAATTCTTTGGAACCCCCTGACGGTAGGTGTTAAACTCAAAGAGTTGTAAATAAGTTATTAGAAATTTAGTTAGTACTGTACTAATTTTAATCCTCGTTTTATAAAGACCGATAATTTTAGTTAAAATATTGATTTTTAGCATACTTCGATTTTTAGTTTAAAAATATAACAGCTCACAAACTACTTAACCGATTTTAATGAAACATAGCTTATAAAAATCTCGATTAAATCATCTTTAAAAAAAAACGCATTGTTATCGGTTCATCCGTTTGGGAGCTATGATGCCACATCGGATGTACATACGGTTGACATATAGTCCATTTCATCAAATATGTCCTATGGCGTCATGTTGGCAACACATTTCACGTTTCGTCTTTATTTCTATGACGCTAAGGTTGCTTCTGAATTATCTCTTTTTGGTCTGAAAATAATAACTAATAATCAAATTGGAAATTTCACAGTTGGTATCTACTATAAAATTCTGCAAGAGATTGCTCATTCTGCTCAGACTGAGTACATTCTTCTGTAGCTGGTTGCTTGTAGATTGATTATATTGTGCAAGATTCAATTGGTCGCAGGTTTCTGGAGTACTCAGATGAGAAATTTCACTTAAATAAGAGTAGTTTGTCATCGAGGTAGTTCATTGTCTGCATCTGTTCGATTATGTCGGGATTTTTCCTTTTCTTGTAAAAACTTCAGTTTTTGATGTGCAATGTCCAAAATTTGGTCGTTGAGTGTTTTTATAGGTCTTTTTGAAGCGGTTTTAAAAGTAGACATAGCAGGAGACACTGGTGGTTGGTCACTGGCATCACCATCTTCCGTGTTCTTTGGTGAAGGAGAAGTAGAAAAATCAATGTTATTCGTTCTTTGAGAGTCTTCTATTTCAGCATCTGGGTCCACATCACCTGATGGAGGTCTTCGGCGCGTCAAATTTCCAGTGCTGGCTCTTGCCTTCACAACTGATTTTAGAAAAAGCAAGGGCTTCAAATAGGGCCACTTAGGACAAACTGTAGTCGCCTCATCTCCAGAGCGAGAAGGTGGTATCTTTCCTAACTCTACGGCGAATTGATCCCTGAGATATCTCCATCGTTTTCTTATTTTGTTTTCTGGAACATAAATATTACTGTGTTATTTCTAAATAATAATCATCTATGTTAACGATATACTTTATTTTCAGGTATCTTGCAACGGGAGAATCATTCGAATCACAACTTCAGAATAGGGGTAACTACAACATCGAAAATTATAGAAGAGACGGTTCTTGCGATATGGGAGGAACTGTATGCCATACATATGCCTACACCTACCAGAGACATATTTTACTCAATATCTAATTTTAATATCATTTGGAATTTTCCTCATGTTATTGGTTGTGTAGATGGTAAGCATGTGCGCGTAGTGTGCCCAATGAAATCAGGATCTATGTTTTACAATTATAATGCTTCTCCGTGGTATTGCAAGCTGTGGTCGATGCCAATTATAAATTTATAATGGTAGAAGTTGGAGGCTATGGCAAACAGAGCGACGGAGGCACCTTTAGAGCATCAGATTTGTATCAGCTTTTAAATGAAAGAGAATTAGACATTCCACCACCAGCTAATTTACCTAATAACCAAGTCTCTGTTTCTTACGTATTTTTAGCTGATGAAGCCTATCCATTAAAAACATATATAATAAAACCCTTTGGGGGGCGTGAATTAACAGAGGACCAACAGAATTTTAATAGTCGCTTCTCGCTTGCGATAAGCGACTATTAAATTATAATCAAAGTGGCGTTTGATATCTAAATGCATCGAAACAGATATTGAACTAGCTGATAAAATCGTGAAAACTATGTGATTGTTACATAATATATTGATAAAGAGGGTATTGAAAGAAACTTGACTCCAATAAATCTTGTACTGCGAAGATGGCACAATCAAAGATTGAGTCCACCTTCGAATGTTGCTACAAATGTCAGAAATAATTTTCTTCAGTATTTCAGACATAATCACTTGTTGTATAATACCTAATTATTATTAATAAGTAATGGCTAATGCAAATATGTCTATTATTTATTAATATAGGTTACATACTTACCATCCTGTTTCATTTCCAAACAAATCTCTTTCCAACACTTATTGGTGACATTTCTGTTGCTATGGAACTTATTTCTTTTGTCCCATAAAAGTTCTTTATCAAATACCAAGGCTATCAAAACTTCGTTATCCACATCCATTTTCATAAACAAACACACCCTTCACCGGTAAACGTTTGAAACCGTATGGCTCGGTCCAGGTTGTCGGCACGAACAAGTTAAACCTGTTTCTTTATAAGTGAGCGCATAAGTAAACATATAAATATTATACCTGCACCGGTCGGTACCTACCCGCTCAGATTTGTCTGTACCGGAAACCTGTTTTTTATGTAAGCACCCTAAGTCAGATTTCTGAATGAGGGTCAGCTTGGATTGCATGTCTTTTAAAATGGAAAAACAATTGAATTATTTTATTGTTTTACGTTCTAATTCTAATTTTAAAATTAAGAATCTTATCAGATAAAAAAAATACAAAAAAGTCTTCTGCTACACAAAAAAACAATCTATTTTACAAAATGATCGCAAACTTTTTTTGATGTGTGTAAGTACTTAAATTAAGAATAAGTGACTAAAAGCATATTGAATGTTGAAGGTTTGTTAAACTCCTTACTTCTTAAATGCATATCGAATAAATACATTTTAGATGCTAGTCTTTGTTTGCTATGACATCAATATAAATATTGAGATATATTATAATGATGTGTGATCTATGAATCAAACATCTTCTCAAATCTCTTTTTGAGTAAACTCACTCATTAACACAAGTCATTAAACGTGACAGATAGACAGACAGACTGAGTTCCTTTCGCAAATTTTTATTTAGTAGTATTGCTTCTTTTATTCAATACTCAGATATCTTACCGATGACACCACATTTGGCATTGAATGGGTCTTCAGCTTAGAACAATTTTATTGATGACCTCTCATTGTTCCATAATAGTAAGTATAGGGTATTTTCAAAACCTGGTAGATGGATTTTTTTTTTCAGTTTCCTCTTGAGATGGTTGTGCTCACGTTCATGTGCGTGATCATAAACTTTTTTATCCTGTGCGACATGAGTGGTGAGTTTGAGATGTTCTATAAGTCTATCAACTCTGTCAACGCGATGTGTTTACATGCACTTAACACTAAATCTTTAAGAGGTAAGTGTAAAAGATATGTTTAAAATATACATTGAAAAAAATATTAATTTTGTACCGGTGATGGCTGAGTCGAAAGGTATAATTACTTTAGAACCTATGGACACGATATATTGACGTACGCATGTATAGGTTGAGGAGCAATGGAGTTACAGGTGGCTCAATTTAGATATTTAGATTAGATTTAGGTTAGAATAGATCGAATGTGGTGTACTACTCTGTGGAACGTGCCTAGTGCATTATTCTCGTGGTGTAAAACCATCTACGCGGATTGCCTCTTCAATAATACCAGCTTTGAGCACCAGTTGGATGGCTTCAAAGTCTATAGCGGAAATATAATATTTTTAAAAGTTAAACTATAATTACATAACCACACATTTTTTCGTTCATCTTTAGCGTGTCGCATTACAGTTTAAATTGTTATTAAAATAAATTAGAACTTAGCAACAAGCTTCAAGTGTTTTTTTTTTAAAGGGTGGGTACAGTTGCACCTGGTTCAGTGGTAGAAAGCTTGCCTGCTACGCAATAAGCGCGCGGGCGGTCTAGGTTTCATTCCCAGCCGAGGAAGGACATTTTTTTTTATTAATGGTGTTAAAAGTTTTACTTGACTCGTGGTTTCATAAAATCATTTTTTGTGTATTTGCAGGAAAAGCGAGGAAGATCATCAAAAATGTTTATAGGACAAACAAAGTTCACTTCGCCAAGACAATGCCGCTATACCTGTTTACTGTAGATGCTATGTTGCCGTTAAGTTACGGTAGCCTCGTCACTACGTATGCCGTCGTGTTGTTGCAATTTCAGATTAAAGTGAAGAGCTAAGTGATTAATTAATGGGAATCAATCTTGAAAATGCTCATTCACAGCATTTTAAGGACTATAATTAACAACAAGAACTTAGTGTAACTTGTAAATGTGCAAATTGAGTACAATATACAATTCTTAAGTTAACAAAATTTGCGAATACAAGAGTAATAAAAACTGCAAATCGTTCGATCTTTTATACGTCTTAAGTTTAAAATACAGTTACGTTTTCAGCCACTAATGCCTTTTCCACTGTAAAGAAAATTGATACATCTGGACAGGACGCAGTAATATATATATAGTTTTGATTTTCACTGTATAAACTACTGTTATTGTACCTTTTATCAGTGGGATTACTCCTATAACACTCGTGAAAGAGGACATACAATTGTATAAGCAGACATTGATCGGTCAAGTAATTAAAGTATTCTTATGTACGGTATTGCTTAGCTTAGCTTTCATTTACAAAACGTAGTGGTGTGTGATGTGTGATATTTTTTTGGACTATGTAACCTTGAGTTAAATACTTTAACATGTAATAAAACTCTAGCTGTTAAACAATAATAAGAAACGAATAATTGTGTGTGTGTTTTAGACAAGAAGCGTTAAATACAGAAAGTAAGCATTAGATTTTAGATAGTATCAAATGGCTCACCCCGAAAAAATACAAAAGTTGGTTAATATTACCAAAAAATGATATATTGAAATCTTTTATCCACATTAAATTCTGACAAAAACAGATATTTTTGTTTATTTTATTAGTTAACTGGAAACCCGCTCCAAATATCGCACGGATGCTATTTGCTAACAAAGAAAATGAGAAATGTTGACATTTCAATACCTACATCGTGTATTAAATTTTCTGGTAGTTACCAACATTTTCTAAAAAGTTTTGCTTTAAAGAAACAAACAAAGAGAAAAATCTGTCTAACCGTTCTTAAGTGTTGTTTTGCCATACATGAAGTTTTTTATTATGTTTAAAGACTAGCGAACTTCATACAGCCAGACAAACATTACTCAAGGAAATTCAAAAAGTTAGAATAGTTTTAACTCTATACTACTTACTTACCTATAATGGGACACAACGCGAACCTGATGTGGATCGATGGGAGCTAACAACTACAGATGTAACTGGGACCAAAGTCTATACTTGCCTTCAGAAGCACAGAGAAGATAATAAATTCTTGGTCACCAATTCGATAACCGGCCATTGCAAAAGTTGCTTAATTTCCACGATCGCAGTTCTCATGGGCTAACCACTTGCACCATTGAGCTCCTTTAGATATCTTTTTTACTACTCTTTGAAAGGAATTTTTATTTTTTATTTAACAGAAACGTCATTGTCCCCCGGATTTACTTCTCGTTATTTCTTGGTTAGAATTTCCCAGCCGGAGTAGCATGAGCACCGCGGTATGATAAATGAAATAGCTCGGTTTGTTCAACTGTCACATTACTATTATAGAGTTTGACAGTTAGACGCGATGAAAAAGTGATATTTATATAAATTGTAGTGCTCATGCTACGGGGGCCAGATAAATAGATAGATTTGAGCCGACAAACCCGAAGGGCACCGCACACTTTCATATATCTATAAACTCAGCAATGTCATCGACTTCGTACCAAGTCGTCTTCTATGCGAACTTAAATTATATGTGCGTACTCACTGCCTGCAGCGATGCGATTGCGTTTTTTTTATAGATAGGTCCGACAAATGACTCCACTCCACCTGATGTTAAGTGATGGTGAAGTCCAGACGTGAAGATAGTTGGTAAATCAGTTCTACCTGCCACACCAGCCATCCTCACCTTGCCGGCCTGCATGTTGCTTCTTCACGCCTCTTTTAAAGGATCCCAGGTTGTAAGAAGGAGGGAACACGTGAGCAGGCAGAGCATTCCATTTACGGATAGTACGACAAAGAAATGAGTCACCAAATTACCTTGTACGCGTTGGAATTGTGGCCACAGTTAGACGGTGGTGGCGCCGAAGGCCAGCGCGCGTGGTCCTCCGAAGGAAAGGGGAAGGTGGAATAAGAGAGAATAACTCTTCAGAACACTCGCCGTGCAACAGACGATAGAACGCGCTTAGTGACGCAACGTCACGGCGTAATTGAAGAGGCTCGAGGTGTTTAGTCACCTCATCATCGACTATGATGCGGATCGCACGCCGCTGTAACCTATCCAAAGCATCGAACAAGTACTTGGCCGAACCATCCCAGAGGTGCGAGCAATATTCCACGCAAGACCGCACCTGCGTCTTATACAACAAGCACAGTTGCTCGGGCGTGAAAAAGCGCCGCACCTTGTTCAGGACTTCGAGTTTGCGTGAGGCCGTTTTTACCAAGCTTTTGATGTAATTCTTTGGATTTAAGTCACAGTAAATTTCCATACCGAGCATGGTGATACTGCTCTCTAGCTCCAGTGTTGTGCCCTGAAGAGAAGGACATGAAAGGAATGGTGATGTTTTTGCCGTGAAAGCGCAGACCTGGGTATTCTTAGCGTTGAACTCAACCAAGTTCTTGGTACCCCATTCAGAAATGTGGTGCAAAGCCTGATTGAATTCAATGACAAGATTGACCCGTTTTTCCCTGGTGTCTGCCTGTCCAGCCGCTGCTTGTCCGAGATACCCCGCGTGCACTGTACTATCATCCGCATAGCAATGAATGTTCCCAAGAGGAATTAAGTCATTGATATGCAGCAGAGTGGGGGATAGGACGGAGCCCTGAGGAACGCCGGCATTTACTGACATGAACCGCGAACTACTACCAACCGTAAGGACACGAATTCTGCGCTCAAGCAGGAAGTCAGCTACCCAGGAACAGAACTGGGCCGGCAGACCGTATGCCGGAAGCTTGGAGAGAAGGCTCTTGTGCCAGACTCTGTCAAACGCCTTGGCAATGTCAAGGCTGATAGCCAATGACTCGCCACGCTTGTCGATAGCCTCACCCCAGATATGAGTCAAGTACGCCAGAAGATCACCCATCGAGCTTTTCGGTCTAAAACCATACTGTCGATCATTAATCAGAGAATGAATCTAGGTAGCGGGTCAGATGGTTGTTAAGGACCTTTTCTAGGACTTTACATAATACTGAGGTGACTGCTATTGGCCGGTAGTTGGCCGGGTCTGAGCGATCCCCTTTTTTGGGCACCAGTTGCACATTGGTATCTCTCCAAGTCTCCGGCACACGCCCCAAAGAATACGAGC